CGTAAATTAAATATATAAATAACATTAATTATAATTCACCTATTGTTTTCAAAACAGGACCAGACTGAACAGTTCGACCGAATAGACCGGCAATCGCTTTATCGATTAGTCCGAGTAACTTAAATAAAATGTTTGCTTGCAAACCGGTCAACACCAGTCAATTTTGGTGTTCGGTTGAGCTGATAGTACGATTTTTTAAATATATTGTTACTTACTTTCATTTTCGAATTTGAAAGTTTGGCCATTATTTTTGCATCAAAATTTTATTTATGTGATACGATTTATTCTTCCAAATTTCTAGATATTTATGTTAATAAGATATTGGTCATAGGTTGTTGATAAGGTTTGTTTCCAAAAAATATTAAAGAAAAAATGCAAGTACATCCGATACAGTTTTTAATTTTGAACCAAGATGTGCTTTCTAAAAAATATTGATACCTATTAATAAGACCGTATAAATTTTAAATTAATATGTACATTATTTTTGCATCAAATTTGAATTTCTTTAATGTTGAGTTATTATCACGAAATTCAAGACAATTTACCTTGATATTGTAATCGGCTCAAATTGATCAATATGTTAATAAGGTTTGTTTACAAATAATTTTAAAGATACCAATCTTGTACAACTATATTTTCTCAAAACTTTAACAGAAATGATTTCATATTGGAAAAAAAAAAGTGCACAGATCTTTGTAAAATTAGAGCACGGATCTTTTTCAAATAGCTACAAAATGCGTAAAATACGGAATGTATTTAATTTCATATTAATCAAAGTAAAATACAAAAATATTTTCAAAATAATTAATACACCATTTTCAAATGGGTTTGAGAAAAAAAATCCATGGATATTTGTAGATTTGGAATACGCATCTTTTTAAAATTAATCTGCGGATCCAATATGTAAAATATGATGATATCTTTTTAAAATTGATCTAAATATTAAAAAATGGAATACATTTGATTCCATATTAACTAAAATAAAATACAAAAATATTTTCGATATAATTAAAATGGTGTTCTGAAGTTTGTTTGAGAACAAAAAAGTTAATGGATATTTGATTAAATAGAGCAGGTACCTTTATAAAATAGCTCCAAATATCTCACATGTAAAATATAAAATGTAGTTGAGTACATATATTAAATAAAACAAATTTATCAAAAATAATTAAAAAGGCTTTAGTAAACCGATTTACAAAAATATGGACATATTTTCCTTAAGTGGTAAGTCAACAAATTTTTACCAAAAAATTAATCAAACTTTCCACAAGTGAATTTTTCATCAACCTCTTTCAATATACTAGTATGTGGCCCGTGCGATGCACGGGTAAATAATATTAAATAATAATTGTAAATTGACGATATAGGTAAATAATATGTATTCGTTTAGGATTTTGAGTGCCACTTTGAGATTTTTTGAGATTTGAGACTTTTAAGATGGTCAAATTCTAGAGGAATACTATGAAATCTTAAGTGTGAATGTGAGATTTAGAGTGAAATTTTGTATAATGTTTTTTTCTTTTAAATCATAACTAATCTTAAAAAGACCTAACAAATTTTGATCTCAAATAAGTTAAATATTTAAGGATATTTTAAGATTTTTTTTTTAATTTTTAAATATCAAAGATGAACCGCTTTTGTTACCAAAAAATGTGGACACAATTTTGAATGTACATCCCGTCTAAATATCAGTTTTATTCTAAAATAAAAATTGAACGTGGTTTTATTCAATTTACACACTTTTTTTTTCAAGAAAAAATTATTCAATAAGATTGAAAGAATTAGTTAAGAATTATACAACTATTTGTTTCCAAAATTTGTATC